AATATTCCAGGAATATAAAGTAAAAAATTAGAATGATAATATTATATTGATTGGTTTCCATGAAAAATGAAGGAAATGATTTTAAATTTAAACTTTTCAGATGAGCTTAATTCACTGGCTAAGTGAAAAAATAGAATTCCAAATGAGAAGGCAATAAGCCAGCACTCTTAGGACTTAGCTGCTGGATGCTTTTGTTCTAATCTTTTCAGCAAGGGTCAATTTCAGCCACAGTTAAATCAATAGGTCCTTCAGAGTCCTCTGAGAAGAAAAAACTAATCCAAACAAATCTCACATTTAGTGTCAGTAGCTACAAGCATAGTTATTTAAGAAAGATAAGATGTAAGAAAGGGGGCACATACATAGCTCCAGGCATCACTATAAAGACATATGGGATAATGCAAAAAAAAAAAAAGAAACAAAGTTTTCAGCTTAGAAATAAAGCATCAAAGTACACTTAAGGCTTAACAAACTTTGAGACATTAGCTCCACAATCCCACCTTGGCTCTTCTTCTTCCTCTTCCTCTTTTTCCTCTTCTTCTTCTTCCTCTTCTTCTTTTCCTCTTCCTCCTTCTCCTCCTCCTCACTTTCCCCCTCTTCCTCCTCCTCCTCCTCCTCCTCTTCCTCCTCCTCCTCCTCCTCCTCCTCTTCCTCCTTCTCCTCCATTTTCTTTTCTTTTAATTTTTGAATTCTTGCAGCTAGTTATCAGTTCAAGGGTCAGGTTTATTATTAAACTGCCTTCAATATAGTTGAGTTCTTTTCAAATCTTTAATAACTACTTCACATTTGTGATGGTTCAAAGTTATTATATGTCATATCCAGAAAAGATAGTTTCACTATGTAAAGACAATTGTTTTACATGCCTCATAATATGTGTCTGATTCTTTGAACCTATGTCAATATTGAAAGATAGTAATACCTCTGCAAAATTATCCTCTGACCTAAACAAAGACACACACACACACATACACACACCATGCCATATTTATATGAACTGGTATAATGTACATAGAGAGACAGAGACAGAAAGAATATGTGTCTGTATATAATATATATGCCACAACAATAATGAAAATATAAAAATATTATGTACCTTTAAATTTATACAAAATATAGATTGTCACTTTGAAACTGACCAATGAAAATGAATAGACATGCTATTGTTTAAAGACCCTGATTAAATCTCTGATTTGTTTGTTCAGCATTTCATGATATGAAAAGAAGAATGCTAAACATTATGGAAATGGTATTATCCCCCCCAAGAGAAGCAAGGAATTAACATAATATAAAATTCAAATGTTTACTAATGTTGTTAGAGAATACATTTATTAATCATATTACCAGAAATATTGTTAGAGAAAGAGAGACACCAAAATATACATTATCATGAATATAGGGAATTATTAAAAATTAATTGTAGTTGTGCTATGCTAATATATAGCATAAAATGATTTTTAATATATTTCTTCAGCTAATCATATATATGCAAAAATTCCTCCCTCCTACTCTTTTTGTTTTGAACTCTTACTTGTACAACCTGAGTAGAAATTTACTGCACTTCTGCAATGTTATCATACTTTTAAAAAGAATAATTTGAAAATTCCTGATATAGACAGTTCAAAATTATCCCCTACAACCAAGTAACATACTATTGAGAAATTTTAGGAGGTTATCTGTGTATTCAACTGACTTACAGAACTCATATGTAAAGAAATTATTTTCACTTTCATTGATTTGTTTAATATCAGTTTTTAAATTATCTCTGAAATAATTATTAGTTTGTATTATTTTTACAGGATTCCAATGTAGAACCTTTATCTTTAGAAGACAGGACTCAAAAGCAAGTACTTTCAGAAAACAGTCATTTTATGAATGTGTAAGAATACATGTTGATAAATTGATATGAGTAATCATATTTTATTAAGAACTTCTACTTGTTTTCTTTCAGATTTTTAATAGATTTTAGAAGTTTTAAGAATTAAAATTTGAAATTATATTAAATTAAATTAGATTTAAGAAGTTAGATTTTGAGGAAAAAAATCAAGCTGTGTCATCCTTTGTCTTTCTCCCGTTTATAGTACAAAACAAACATAAATTCTATAAATTCAGGTATTGAAAGTGGGTTGTTTTCTATTATTCAAAGAAAAATAAATATACACAATTATTGAGAATATATATGATATATTTATTATTTAAATATAAGTATATGAGAACATTAATGCATGCTGTCCTAGTACAAATTCTTTCCACGTGAGCAATAAATAAGTTAACGATATAAGTTCTACTCCCATTTTGGTCTCTAGTTGGTTAGCAGTATATGGAGAATTCGTTAACCTTTATAGGAATGATGCATGACATTAAAAACAAAAAAAATACATAGTTTCATACCTGATAAATACTATAAGGTTATCTGTATCAGAAAACTAAATTGTTTTCTAATACTCTAATATTTTCTTCAATGGCAATAACTGTATGTTTGCACTCAGATGTACACAACTATGTTTTCTTAGAATACAAGTAAGTTTTATATATCAACATTGTATGAACAATAAAAACATAAGTCATGATTCAAGTTTTGACATATACTGCAGCCTTTATAGTAGTTAAAGCCAAATAAACACAGGATAACGATTTCCCCATACATTTTTTAAAAGTATTCTCCTAGCCCTATTTAGCCCACTCTGCCAAAATCTGGGGCCATAGCATTAATGATGCTGGGACGCATCCATTATTTTACAAATGTGTAAATTCCCCTCAGAGAGATTACATATTTATTGATGTGTCACAAGTTCTTTAGTACATTTTAGCTATTCTCAGCAAATAGGCCAATAGTAATGATTGGATACTACTTTAATATATAGGATTTTAATTCATTTGATGAACAGAAAAAGCAAGTATTAAATATTAAGAGCAATTTTTAAAAATATTGCTGTCACAGGGAGTCTCAAATTCCAGACATTACCATACCATTGCAAATCAGCTGTCACCCCACAGAGACAGGGTTGAACATCAGGAAAAGGAGAAAAACTGAGGACATCCATCTGGAAGATTAAGGATCAGTTGAGCTTAGGAAAAAGAAAGGGGTAACACTATAGGCAGGGGGTCCATGTTCTCTTTAAACTTGAGCCATTGTTGTTCAGCCTGTTTAGTTATTCCTAAACTAGAACAAAACAAAATACAAGGACATACCTATATTCCTATTATGCTTTGCAGTAATTACACACATTCAAAAACCTAAAGGCATCACATGGTTATATTTTCTAATCTACCTACTGACCAAACTCTGTGGAACTACACTGCAAAGTAGAAATAGAAAGGAAACAAAAATGAAGGATACAGTGGCAATATGATCTAACACTGACCAATGACTCATTGTATGGCAGGCACTGTTCTCATCTCTATTCATGTTTTAACATGTTGGAAGCCCACAACCATATATTTTTTCCTTATACAAATGAGGAAAAGGAAGATGAAGGACTCGAATGATAGTAGTCGGCCCGAGTTTTCAAATATTGAATTGGGATCTGTTTCCCTGCTATTGGACTATGGAGTTCTTACTCTTTTAACCTAACTGTATAAAATACATGTGTGATTTAGTCCCTGGGAGCTCTGGGGGGTCTGGTTGGTTTATATTGTTGTTCTTTTGGGGATGGGATAGGAGGTTTCTGGGGGCGGGATGGAAACTGGGAAAGGGGATAACATTTGAAATGGAAATAAAGAAAATATCCAATAAAAAGAAAAAAATGAATGTCTGGGACACAATACAGAATTCTTTCTGTTTTGCTATTTTCCATACTGAAACATTGGATCTACTTTTCATATACTCAATTAAGAAAAAAAAACTATATCTTGTGTGGCTCTCTATTTTGTTCCTTACTATTTTATTATTTTATTGATTTAATATTTCAAGTACATTTGAACTTGACCTGTTTTAAATATGACATTGTAATTGTAGGTTTCACGTTTTCCCACATGAAGTTCCTTTCCATTTTGTTGAATTATATTTAGTTTTCCATACTTCCTATCTTATCATTATTTCCAATACAATAGAACAAAACTTTTCCAATATACAAATTTTGTTCTCATACATTATCAAATTGAACTCTTGGAAATAGGTTACATGACATTCAAGGTGGCTCCTGAGAATCTCCATTTCTTGGGTGCTTTCTGATATATTCAGTTTTCATTGATTCCAGGCTCTGTGTACAGCATGACATGAGATTGCCATTCCCAAGACCTACAAATTTTCATTCACTCTTGAAAGTAATCCAATTAGTCAGAAAACTTTGTTTTTTTCTTTGACACTACTTTGGTAGTTTATATGATGTTTTCTCTTGCACATTATGTTAGCTTTAAAATTGTTTATATGTGTACCTTTCTTCCTTGTTTCTGAGAGGCTGTGTACAGAAAATTTATTTTATTGTTGTAGCAAAATTCCTGAGTACATACTCTTTAGATCTTTTAAGATGTTGGACTAATGTTTGTACACGTCAATGTTTTTACTTATTGATGTTTTAAATCAACTTGTATGGTAGTTATTATAGGTAGACAGCATTGTCTATATTCAATAAATTGTCTTAGTTATTGTAAATATTTTTGCTAATCAATATAACAATGAACTGCTAATATATCTATGCTCTGTCTATTATCATAGCCAATACTAAGATAATAAGAAATGACCTTTTAAACATAGGATCAATGATCCAATATGCAATGAGTTCTCAGATTCTTACTGAAAACAGTTCATCAACATTTAAATCTAATATTTATTTTTTTTTATTTTCACTCTTGAGTATCACACAATATTGTGGGGGATGCCTTGGTTTATTTCATGGGATTGTCTATGGGTTACCAAATAAACAGCACGTGGTCTTATAAACAAGACTTGTAGATTATATTCAGGTTTTTATTTATTTTTATTTTCCTGAAGTTGTTAAACCCTCTGTTGGCATCATTTCCTTTCCATTCCCAATAAGTCACATAGAAATTTTGCTTTGTTCCAGGAACTCCACATACTGTATGAAAGTTTCCATCTCACTGACAGTGGGAGAAAATGACACTGGCCTCTGCTACAATTCCAAGATGAAGTACTTTGAAAAAGCTGAACTTAGCAAAAGCAAGGAAATTTCATGCCGTGACATAGAGGACTTTTTACTACCAACCAGGGAACCTGAAATCCTTTGGTACAAGGTATGGACTCTGGAAGATTTTATTGCCTGCAAACAATTTAATGTGCATTTTTTCTAGAGAAATCTGGATTAAAGATTAACTAAGATATAGCTCATGTCTTAGAGAGTACTATAGCAAGTTGTGCTCATCCTTATAAGTCTTTTTAAGATTTTATTTTTATTTATTTTTATTTTTTTTATTTTTTTATTTTTTATTTTTTTTATTTTATTTTATGTGTAAAAGTGTATGCCTGAATTTATGTCTATGTACCCAGAGGCAATTAGATCCTTATGACTGGAGTTATAATTGGATGTGAGTGGTCATGTGGGTTTTAGAAATTGGACCTGGGTTTTCTGGAACAGCAGCCAATGCTTTTAATTGCCTACCAATCTCTACAATCTCATGTCATTGTAAGTTTTAAAAAACCACCTGCTTTGATAAATAAAGTATTGATTAATATTTGTACCGTTGGTCTACCATATAAGCTGTTATGTTTAAATTTACATATTGCATATGTCAACAACTGCTTGACAAATTTAGAAAGTAAAATATTTTGAACAAACATTTCTGGGCTTAGCATTCCAGGATACCCCTAGGCAAAAGAGAACCAATACTTATTTTTATCTGTGATAAAATGGTATCCTAATTATGAAATATCATAATCAATGGTCATTCAATAATCACTGCCTATGTTCTAATTGTTTTCAAATATAAATTGCTTAATAAATAACACTCAAGAAAACAAATAATTTTATTAAAATTTTGTTCAAAAGGAGAAAAACCTAGTCCCCCTGTTGCTGTCACATCACTTATATTCATTGATCTTCCAAAACAACTCATAGGTTTAAGTTTCTTTGTACCACCTAAGAGCATTTTTGGTCTTGGATGTCCTCAAAAAATTGAATATAGAAACTATGAAGGTTTACATGGAGAAGTTTGTTCAAAGATTAAAAATATGACTTCAATGCCTTCTCTGTCCGATGGGTTGGACTCTTGAAAAAATGGGACTTATATTACATAGTGTATACCTCTCAGAATCAATGCCAGCATGCAAACAATTATAATTGACTGATAATGAATTTTTAAAAATTCTATTAAAAGTGGAAAAAGAAACCTGAACAAGTTCACAATCTTTTTTCAAAATTAACAATATTCTTCCCAAAGACCTCTTTGATTCTGGATAACAAGCAATGGAAGTTCAGAATATCAAAGGAAGTGCTGAAAGTTTTGTCAACTCTTCCCTTGGTTTTCTGACCTAGATGATGTCAAAAAATCACAAAATTATTAGCCCCCACCTGGTTTATCTTCTGGAAGGAATGAGTTTTGTTTCAATTTTGATAACTGAGTACAGCTCATTTGACACATTCTGAAGTTTGCCTGCCATCCTCAGCAAACTTTTTGAAAATTTTTTCAGTAATTTTTGAGTATTATGAGACTCACATTTTCTTTTTTTTTTGAAGGAACATTGTGAAATTTATTTTATGAGGTCACAGTGAGACTGATAGCCAAACCACAAAAGACTCAACAAAAAATGAGAATTACAAAACAATTTCCCTCATGAACACTGATTCAAAAATAATACAATATTCAAAAACCAAATCCAGAAACAGATCAAAAAATTAATCCACTTGAAAACATAGCCTTCATCACAGAGAGGCAGGGATGTCTCAATATACAACAGTCAACATAATACACTATATAAACAAACTGAAAGATAAAAGCTATATGATCATCTCAGTACATGCAGAAAAAGACTTTGACAAAAGCCATGAGCCTTTCATAATGATCTTGGAGAGATCAGGGATACCAGGGACATACCTAAATATAATAAAGACAAGGCTGTCTACTCTTTTCTTTCTTTTGGTCTTTTTAGATTTTTCTCATTTATTGTTCTTTTTTATATAATTTATTTTTTCTCAAATCGTAATTCATTCACACAGGGGTTATAAACACAGAAAGGCAGCAGGATGTGGAAAAGGGAATGGGACTGGAGTGTGGGTGTTCAGGGGGAATACAGATATCTTCAGAACCAGGTATCGGCTGGGTGAAGGTTCAGGGGACAGATCACTATGACTCTGCCTATGACTCGCTTGTCCTTATCTAAGTTGGTATTATCTGCCAAGGCTACCTATTTACAAGGTCTATGACTACTCAAGCTTGTAAATTTCCACAAAAGCTGCCTGTTTACATTAGCTTATAGCCATCTGTTTCAATGTTTTTCCACTGAGACCCAAGACTTGGTGTTAGTATACATGTATGACAAGCCTATTGCTGATTTTAGGCCTATGGCTGATTTTAGGCCTTCAGTGTGTAAGCAGGGCTGCCCCTGACATCTCCTCCTTTCTCTAGATATAGAAGGGCTGTGGCAATTCTAAACTTGCGAAGGCAGGGATAGAGGCCTGACCTCCAGTATTTGAAGGGGACCTTGTAATGGCTCCAGTCCTCCTGTCGTTGTCCAGTGAGGAAAGAGGGCCATACCAATCCTGATCTCTTTTTCCTGGAGAGGGGATACTTTTGACATCAACCTCTATGCAGTCAGGCTTGTCCCTCAGGGAACGCAGATAGATATTTTTATCTTTTATTGATATTCCCTTGCAGTGCTTAGCCTCGCAGCCTAAGCAAGAATTTAGATCGCCTGTCAAAGGGGGTTCTGGGTGGCCCCTCTCTGCTTGGTCTAGTGGCAGAAGTCCCCCCTTTTAGGTTGGGTGGAGATGGGTTTTGGGAACACCCTGTATAAAGTAACAACCTCATCTTGAGTCTCGTGGTCCTCCATAGCTAACTTATGATAATGTATCTGAGTAGGTTTTGCTACCAAATTATTTATCTGTTATATCACAGAGTTAGTCCGCCTATTTGAGGGCCAGGGACCAGCAGAAAAAAAGCAAAAAGAACCCAAATAATGGTCCCAAGATGGGAAGAAATAGGGTTGACAACCTTGGAGAGGCTGAAAACCAATTCTTGTACCAGCATTCATCTGTCTCTTTCTCTCTCTGATTTTTCTTAGGGCCTTCACTAACCTATTTCATGCTCACTTTAACCCTCCTTGACTTGTCTATGTAAAGGCAACCTTCTTCTTTAAGGGCTGTACACAGTCAAGAGCTGTACATAGCCTTTTCTATTGTAATAGAGTAAATCAAGTCCAATAAGGATCTTTGCGAATTTAGGAGGTCTCTTCAGACAGCAAAATGAGGGATTTCTTCAGATTAGTGATGTCAGTCTCTAGCTGTTTGATGTTCTTGTCAGTGGCCCTTCAAAGGTCTGAGTAGTATAAGTTTGGAGGCCAGCATCTGGATTAGAACTTCTAACAGCAGACATCACGGGTGATTCATTTTTACCTGGAAAGGAAAAAGAAGGGAATTCTCAGGGAGATTTCTCTTCCCTGGAATTCTTAGGCAAATGGATGGAGCTGGAAAATATCATCTTGAGTGAGGTGACCAAATCTCAAAAGAACATAAGTGGTATGCACTCACTGATAAGCGGATATTAGCCCAAAAGCTCACAATTTCTAAGAAACTACGTATAGACCACATAAAACTCACATAGAAGAAGGAAGACCAAAGTGTGGATGCTTTGGTCCTTTCTAGAAGGAGTATCAAAAGTTTCAACCAGAGCTCCCAAAGTCTAAACTGCCAGCCAGAGAGCACAAAGGGAGGGACCCATGCACCTGTATAGGGAATTGAGGGTGACCTTGTTAGACTTCAGTGAAAGTGGAGGGCCATGGTCCCTGAAAGTTTGGATCCCCTACTGTGTGGGAATTTGAGAGCAGGGAGATGGGACTGGGAGAATGTTTGGAGCACAACCTCATAAAAATTAGGAGGAGGGGGTATGGGATAAGGGGTTTTGGGGGAGAATGTGATAGGAGATAACATTGAGATGTAAATACGTATAATATCCAATAAAAAGACCACACAGATAAAGGGTCTAAAAAAAAAAGAGAGGGAGAGAGTTTACTTATTTTAAATTAATTTCAAAAGTTTCTAGGAGTTGCTAATTGGCTAAGATCCTATTTTAAGCTCTCCACAAAAGAATTTAAGTCTCTGTTCAGTATTCTCAAGAGAGAGGTAAACCCTAATTTTCCTCAACAATTAATTGACAAAAGCGAGGTAATCTCACAAAAAGTAGAAGTAGCTATTACTAATCGATATATTATATAGTCTGATTACTTGTCGGTGGTGCTATAACAGTCCTTTGATAAAAGATTATTAATATAGATTTACATTTCTTTAAATACGGTCTTCGTGACTCTCTGAGTGTGGAAGGAGCGACTGTTGGCGCTTCTGCCCTGATTTTACAAGAACTCTGAAAAATTGGCTTTAAAAACAAAAGAGGGGGAACGGTACCCCCTCAGAAAGAGTCCCCCTGAAATACTCTCCATCATGCCTTGTTCACTTTTATCTCTCTAAAGCTGAAAGCTAATGGCAAATCTGCTGCTGACTGCCTCTGGCACCACCGAGACCAACAAAACTTTGCCACAGATATGAGGAAGGACCCTCTTACCCTTAAAGAGAATGGCCCAGACCCAGTTCCCTTATGGGGCCGAGAATTGATATGCCTGTCTGATACTACAAAAGGCACAGCTAACCGGCTACCAAAAAGATTAATGAAAAATTTAGATAACCCCACAAAGCCAGGCCCAACCATAAATACGATGAGGCTCACATTTTCTAAAGCCACATATTTTTTCCTGACATTTGTGTGTGAACATTCTAGACTTGAAGCTTTGTTCTTCACTAATAAGTTGATTTTGATATATGTAATTTTCTTACGAATTGCCGTGAACTTCTCAAGTTTTTCTGAAATAATTAAGCAAATATACATGTATAAATATTTACCTTACAATTAAAATTAATTCAACCTCAATCAAATTTTGATGGTTTCACGTTGTTTATTCAGAGATATTTCCACATTGTGATAGCCATTTAAGCTATAAAAACCATTATAATGGAAGTGGAAGGTAGAGATATATAACATTTTTCAATTATTGTCTTTAGTAAAGGCTTAAATTTATGCCTTATAAATAGTGGATATTAAGAAACTAACTGTAAGTATAATACTTTAATGTACAATTAGTGTAATTATGAATGTTCATGCAACTAATATAAGCAAATAATATGTATACTTTGGTATGAAATAGCTGAAAATTTTCCTCTAGACATAATTATACAGAGACACTGACCCACATAGATTATGAGTCTTAAAATTTTGACTTGCCAATAAATAAAATTACCTGTCTATGGTTTCAAAAGTATTAAAGCAATTTTGTCCATTACTTCAAATACTAGTCTAAGAATGGGGATTTATGATTTAGCAAAAACAGAAATCTCTTTAGCCAATAACATTAAAATAAACAGATTATACTTTGATATTTCTGTTAATAATGAAAAATGGATATTTATGGAATGTGGGAAATGAAGAGCCCTCATTCACTACTAATGCGAGTATAATCTAGTATAGCTCTTATCCAAATCTTTATATGTATTTTTCAAGATGTTCAAAATAAAACTTCCATATGACAGAACTGCAGCACTCTTGGGAGAGACCCAAAGAATCTGATATCTTACCATAGAGATCCATATGTATCCATTCCCTTTGCTACCTTTTCACAACAGTAAGGAAAAGTATCAAGCATAGATACCATCAACAGATAAATGGAAAATAATATGTGCTATATGTACACAATAGACTTTGTTCAACCATAAAGAAAAAATAACTTCAAGAACATAGATCCAAAAAGTATTATATTAAATGAAGTTAGCCAGTCTCAAAAGAAAACAAAATTATATTTTTACATATGCAGATTCTGCTTTCTGTACATGTAAATAAGCAGTTACAAGAGTTAGCATAGATTGTCAAACTTAATAGAAGAGGAGAAGAGGGAAGAGATGCTGTTAAAGCAAACTAAGGAAGTCAAGGTAAATGAATGCAGGTGATATGAAAAAAAGAGGCTACTGAGTATGCAAGGGCATGTGGAGAAGAGAGGAGATGGAGATGAAGAGTACACAAAAGAAACAATAAAAACAAACTGTGCTTTGACAGACACCATAATAAAAACGAATTCTTCATGTGTTCATAGAAAATAAAAAGACCTTGTACATAAATGTTAACTGTTTCTTCAGTGGATTGTAGAATGCACATGTAGAGGTTTAGTTTTTACAAGAGCAATTATATTTTTATAGAATATTAGAGCAGAAATGCTAAGCTTTTAAAAGTATTTTCCGCTCTTTATTTAATAATAAATTTTGAATTTTATGCTATGGATACCAATATAGTCAATTCCACAATAATCTATTAATTATTTGCATTTAAAGTTTATGTTGAGCTTGATTAACAGGTATATGATGTTACTGAATCTAGCAGATCACTATGTGTCTACTAAAGAGGTAGCACAGTTACAAAATAATGTAAACATAAAACTACTCTTACGAGGATGTTCCTGAGTTGCAGATTGGAAAAATAATATAATTTAGTAGGAAATCCATATTTTTACCTCCTGTAAAACTTAATGTATAAAAAATTGTTATGCTTCAGACATTATTGTGTGTGTCTATAAGCCCACCTTGAGGCAAATCAATCAAGACTTCAATTCTAATCTAAGTTACATAGCAAGTTCAAGATGAACTTAGTTGCTGTTTTGTTGTTTGGTTTGGTTTGGTTGTTTTTTATTCTGTTTTAGAAATGAAAATGAAATTATTGCTTTATTGGCTTAAAATAATTTTATTTTTACTTATCATGCATTCTACCCAATTTGATGTTGTTTGTGTAGGAATGTAGAACAAAAGCATGGAGACCAAGTATTGTGTTCAAAAGAGATACCTTGCTTATAAAAGAAGTCAAAGAAGATGACATTGGAAACTACACCTGTGAATTAAAATACGGAGGCTTTGTTGTGAGAAGAACCACTGAGTTAACTGTTACAGGTAATCACATTCTTCAGTATTTCATTTGTAAGTAAAGAAACTGCCTTCTGAGTAGGTCTTGGGACTGTGTATTGATGTTTTTCAACCTCAGTAATGAAAGAAGCACTCAACTAAATGCTAAGTGGATTCCTATAGGTGAAATTTATTCCTCCTTGTTTTAAAATCATCTTGTGCTGAAATACATTTGGAAGGTTAAATAGAATATGTTTAGGGAATTATACAAATGTTACCTTTTGAAAGTACTTGAAATAATGAGTTTACAATTTTTGAAGATTATGCTTGTATTTTGTAGTGGAGTAATTTTTAGAAACATTTTCTAGAGTGATGAAATAGAATACATGAAATCTACCCCTGTATTTCTGTCAAATTACACGTTAGACAAATCATTTTTCTACTGACTTATCATTATAGAGATGACACATATGATCTCATAGGGTTAAAAATAACGTAATTTCATACAAAATTGTTTTTAAAATGTGAGTTGTTTAGTTTTTCGAAATCAAAGGATCCTATATCTTGTTATTATAGAAAGTAACCAAAATAGTATCAGAGTGCTGCTGATTAAAAACAGTATACAATTCACCAATCTAAAAAGCCTAGTTGTATTATTGTAAGCTCCAAAATGCTAAATTACTCACGTATAAAATAATAATGATGAAATTTACCTTACAAGGGATTTGCAAGTATCTTGTGAATTAAGGTAATATGTATACAATAAATTTGCAGTGAGAAAATCTAAATGTTTAGCAATTTAGTTATGCAAACAATTGTACTCATGATCATTTTTTTCATTTACAACAATAATCACTTTTGTAAAAAGTTCCTCATGGAAGGAGAAGAGATCCCATAGCAAAATTAAAATGGGAAATTACAGATACTTACACATTTGTGTTAAAAGAGACTCTAGATGACTTTTTGAGGTCATATTTGTTAAACATTTATAGACCAGCATAGCATTAATTGCTTTAATTTCATGTCTTCACTAATGCTTGTAAAATAGTTTTCTATATGAAACAAATATTTTTGATAGTTATATATATCACATAGGAATCAATTTCTTTTAAATCTTGAAGTATGGTAAAATTTGACTCAAAAGTACATTGTTTCACAAGACTCATTTGCTGAATAGCAATTATTCTGACAAGGGGAAAATTCATTACATAAGATGCTCTGGTAAAGCTTTTGATAAATGTTAAACACAGTAAAACAACTGATACTTGCAATTTATGATAGACTCAAATAGTAAACACACATTTTGTCTCTGGTGTGTATTATATACCTATCATAAGTATGTGTATGATTTGTAATCATTTGGTTTGCAGTTTGTCTGTGTGTCATAGATCAGTGTACAGAAAAATTCACAGGAGCACTTTATCACTTTTATTTCCACCCTTTTCAACAGTCCAATGAAAAATATGCCAGTGTACACAGTAAATATTGAATTTTTTCTGTTCAATTTTTATCTTACAAAGTATACTGAAGTAGTTTTTCTAAACATTAAATATTTAGAAAAAATGACCTTAAAACTATGAATGAAAGTGATACATTCTGAATAAAATTAGTATTCATTTCTTGTCTTAACTCTTATGAAATGAAAATTTATGAATGAAAAACATATTTTTCATATTTTTCTTTCTCTAGAAACACTATAATTTATAAGTACTACCCATGAGGTCGTTTGAAACTAAACACTGTGTCTTGACTGACAAGAAACTTATATAAAAGCATTTAGTAAACCTAAGTGTAGAATTTTTTACTCTTATATTGATTTATAATTTTCTGTACTTTCTTGATTTGTACAAAACTTCTCATTTTCTTCATATAACAATAAAGGATATTTAAGTTTTGATATCCAAGAGGAAGTTAGTGATTTATTACAATTATTGACACAAATTATGTAAATAAATAGGTCTTGCTGTGATATTTCTATACATGCCTCTATTATCCATTCATATGAACAAACTTTCTTCTATGTGGCTCTTTATCTTTATCCTTTCACATCTCCTAATTGTCCTATACTTTATATAGTTTCTTCATGAGAAAGAAAGTGCGCAGTACTTTCTGTGATTGATCTTTCTTAATGAGATTATTTCCACTTTCTTTCATTTTCCTGCAAATGTCAAGATTTCACTCTTCTTTGTGGCTAACAATCCATTATTGGTTTATCTCATCCATACATGTTTATGCACTTAACCTTTTGATAAGTATCTATGCTCATGAAGCCTGCATGGGACTATGCTAGGCCTACTGCCTACGTTATGATTGTGTAGCTTGGTGTTCTTTTGGGACCCATAACAGTGGGAGCAGGGGCTGTCTGACTCTTTTCCCTGTATGAGGACCCTTTTCCTTTCAATGGGTCACATATTCTATCTAGACTTAAATACAAGAGGAGGTGACTAGTCTTATTACAACTTATTCCAGGTTTGGATGATATCCCTGGGAGGCCTGCTCTTAAGTGAGATGGAGGAGCAATGAATCTGAAGGAGATAGGAGGTGCAGAGCAGGGAGGAATGGAGAAAGGAGAAACTGCTTTCTGATTATTGTGTGAGAGAAGAATTTTTTTAATGGCATATTAAACTTGAATATATACCAGCATTTCTTTTATATGATGACTTTATTTCCTGTGGTCACTTATCCAGGAGTAGGAGATCTGGACCATGTTATAATTTTGCTCGAGTATTTGCTTTGTTCTGGGTTGTTTCAGGAGCCATCATGCTAATTGCTACATAGATATCCCCCTTTCCTCACATTCAAGTCAGAATTTGTTTCTCTCTCTCTCTCTCTCTCTCTCTCTCTCTCTCTCTCTCTCTCTCTCTCTCTCTCTCTCCCCTACTCTCTGTCTCTCTTGACTTAGCTATTCTGACTGTGGTAAACTAGTATCTTTATGTTCTTTCAATTTCGATTTTTCTGAGGACTAAAAGGGTGTTCATATTTAGAAGCCCATGCTTCATTTTAAAATTATTTCGTTCCCTCTTTCATTTTCCTCCCTCCAAGCCCTTCTATGAATTCTTCTTTCCTCTCTTTCAAATTTGAGGCCTCTTTTTAAAAAATATATCATTGTTACAAACATAATATATATTTATATGTATTCCTAAGTATATAAATACAACCTCCTCAATCTGTACAATATGATTCATATGTATATTTTGGGGGCTAATCATTTGGTATTTGACTTTAGTGCTCTTCCTTGTAGGAAGACCATTTCTCTTACTCTCAGACTTTCTGTAGCTAATTAGTGTAGAGCTGTCGCCTCCTGTGCTTTCTCTCATCCTAATTAGCATATCTACTTTCGTTGTTCTTGTTAAGGTCAAACTTGATGATAGTTATATTTGTAAAATTTTATGGGTATAACTTCTGAAATTCCCATGCATTCCCTAATATCCTGTTCCTCTTGAACCATATGCCAATATAAATTCTTTATTCCTTAATTTGGTTTTTGGTCATAGTATTTTTCACAGGACAGAACATTTTTTAATCCAATAGTTTTTCTGAGTATAATAGTTTGATTAGCAGCTGTGGTATTTCCAAACAATTGGTCCAGCTTTTAAAGCTGCATTTAAAATTTTCTGTTAAATAATCATTTGTTGTTCTAATGGTCCTGCTTTATAAGTGAATGACATTTTTGTTTACATTTTTATATGGTATCTTTTAATGTTTTAACTACAATATGTTATATGGACTTTCTTTTGTTCCCCCATCTTTTTGGTATTCTACAGATCTCAAACAGGTATAGGCAACTTTGGAAATTTTTTTCTATATTTTTGTATAGAACCTATACATCTTTGCTATATTCTCATCAACTTTTACTGAGTGACTAGATTTCTCTACTTTGTCATCCAGTTCTGCTTTTTTCCAAACATGATCCAGACTATTGGAGTGATCACTGAAGATTTTATTTGACTTATTTAATTTATTATCTTCACTATCATTTTAGTGTAGCTTTTCTCTGGCAAGTCCATGTCTTTATTAAACTCTTTATGTATAGATTTCCACATTTCATTAAGTTCTTTGTTTTTGTTCTTTTGTAGTACATTCACATCCTCTTTGTGTTATTTTTACATAGCTATTAGTCTTTGAATTCTTTTTCTAGGAGATATTCTAGGTGTTTCACATTGTGTTTCATTACTGTTGGGCTAATAATTTGGGGAACATGTTGTGTTTTTTTGTTTTTGTTTTCATGTTAGATTCATTGCTGCATTGAGACTTGTGCATCTGAAGTAGTTTGTCAGGCATGTCTTCATTTTTATTCCAAATATCCCATTCAATGTAGGTCACACCCTACAGAAGAGACTTAAGTTATAAGAAGGATAAGATTGTGTGTGTGTGTGTGTGTGTGTGTGTACATGCTCATGTGCGCCCTTGCCCATACTTATGTAATTTGTATTGAGGGTAGAATTTTCTTTTTCTTTTTTTTGTTAAATTATTTATTTATTTTTTCTCAAATCATAATTCATTCACACAGGGGTTATAAACACAGAAAGGCAGGACGTGGGGAAGGGGATGACACTGGATTTTGGGTGTTCAGGGGGAATCTTTCAGAACCGGGTATCGGCTGGGTGAAGGTTCAGGGGATAGGTCACTGTGACTCTGCCTATGACTCACTTGTCCTTATCTAAGTTGGTATTGTCGAGGGCAGAATTTTCTATCTCATCGTTTTATCGAAGGTTTACTCTTTTCTATAAAAAGAGACACTGAGAGTCTGCACCCCCTCTGTTGGTCCTCTCCTCTGCTTCCTTTTGGTATAGCACTCCACATTTAGTTTTCTGGTATTGAAGCTCTAATCAACTGCTGGCAAGAGGATAGAGATCTCAGAAAGCTAGGTATGCAACAAGGAGTCCCGTGGATTCAGAAGGAGAAGAACCTACCTGGGAATCTTGGTAAGGGAAATACCAGAAGAACAGAAATCAGTGGGCCTTGTCTGAGGCATGGTTGTAAGAGATCCCAGAGGATCTCTAACATCTGCAAATACTTGGAGGCTCGATCTTGGAGTTGCAGCCAGG